TAGAACACGTTAGGCTCCATGAATCCAAAATACGGCAGCCCATAATTAAAGTAATCTAATAGGGCAGTAATTAAAGGACAATTCAAAAATTTTAATTTTAATACGGCAGTCCAATTAAACGATAATTTCTCAGTGTGGAAATTTCGCTTAGAAGCATATGTACTTTTCTCACAGCTCAGGTTATGTGGTTTATCGTAATGGTAAAAAATATCATAGACATACTGAGCAGACTTGGTCAAATTGAGTTATCTCGAAGATATTAGATGCTCGTGTCATCAAGAGTCTGTCGAGCAATCGAATTCTACTCTACAGAAGATATACAGCTGAGATCATGTTTTATCATAGTATCATAAGAAAACAACAATTTCCTGCCCAGAACACCTATAGTAGCCCAGAAGACAAGCAGATTCTTTCAAAACAAGCTGNTTTGGTATTACTGTATTGGCATTATTCGATTGCATCTCGTAAACTTAGTCGATTGAAGCAATTGCAGATCAACTAATGCAACCAGAAGTGACCGACCGCATTCAATCTAAAACTAATAATTGAGCGTGTACAGTAATAGTGGTTATGGGCAATTTGGGCATTGCGGTTGTTGACAAGTCTGACTTGCTCATCGATGGCAAGTTGGCTATCGCAGTGGGTAGCAACGGAGCGCAAAAATGAATTGTGCAGCTCGCATCATGCATAATACGAGCTTTCAGTTGTTCTGAACAGCCTGTTCAAGAAATAAAACATCACTCAGGGGGCTCCATATGAATGCAATATGAAGAATTATGTGGCAACATCCCACGTCGACAAAATTATATTGAGTTTTAGCTTTACAAAGATATTCTTAGAAATTGTGTCGTATGAAAACCCAAATATATCTTTTATTCGCAATGATTCGGAATTCCACAGATATTCTATTGTCAAACTTAATAAGCTTATTATACGATAGATTCTTGGAGCATCTGCTGAATTCATGCAAATAAGTTGTTTGATGTGCTGTTGAAATTCCTCGTTGTGGAGGTGCATGGAACACCAGTTAGGAAACAAGTTTGCGGCATTTTTCCTGCTCACAATCGAATATAATTTGAAAACACGCGACGAGTGAAATCAAGTAAGAGTCGTTGCATACAGCTGAAGTATGCGTAAGGGAACAGATGTGAATAAGATTAAGAAAGGGTTAGAGGAGACTAAGCAAAGTGAACAATACAAAAATAATCTTCACCAAATGTCACTATCTATTATAAGTAACTGTTCAATAATCCGATGATGATAATCTAGAATGTGCGAGAAGCAAGCATATCAAGTATACATTTCATGCATTCATTCGAACAACGAACTCATTTAATCGTTGATCATATTCGAATGACACAATTTCAGATTAAATCAAAATCTGCGAAAATATTCCATAATCAGATTAGCTGTCACTATACAATTTTACGATGGAGTATTTAAGCGATGCATTTGATGCGTAACGAGTTTATTGTCAGCTTTGCGTTCAAGATGCATACCGAACGACATCTCAAGCAAATTATCATAACTTTAACTCTGATTTTCATTCAGAAGTCGTTTTTGATAGACGCTTTCCTATTTGGCACATTACAGCCTAATAATTGTTGTCCACAGCCAAAGGGTTGTTGTTCAACTGAGCAAATAACACCAAATTTGTTCAAACCTCTACCTCTGTTTCCTCAACCTGGATTATTGAACACGAACCCGTTATTTCCTCAGCTAGGTTCACCTTTACCTCCTCTAGCTGGATTATCGTCTTCATCATCATTATCGTCATGTTGCTGCTGCCCCTCACCATCACCTGTAAATCCTCCTCTATTTCCCCCTCTATTACCTCCTATGTCGTCGTTGTTTCCACCACTCCAGTCCAACAATTTATGTTGTACTCAGTCCAGCAATCAACTCCAGTCAATGTGTTGTCCTTCGAATCCATTAACTCTTCCACTTTTCCCGAGACCAACAGTGCCTCGTCCATACATCAACGGGCCTATGCCTCCCGCACCACCTTTGGTTTTACCGCAACCCAGACCTCAACCTCAAATTATCTACTCTCATCCACCATCGACGAAGCCGTTAGGCGAAGGCCTTATTGTACCAGTAATGCTTCCTAGTACATCGCCAACGTCCTCGCCTCTATCGAGTGGATATGATACGGAAATTGAGGATCTGGTGAGCTCCTCCGATAATAAGGATTCATTTCAATCTTCGGATGGTTACTCATCAGTGAATGACAATAACTCTGATAATGGTCAGTCAGAATCAGAATATTTCCCGACAGTACACTCAAATGTTGACGCGTCTGATCTCTCAACATACTCTCCATCATCAAAGGAATTCGATTCGAAGTTGGAAAGGAAGGAATCGGCGCGATATAATCTGGATGATTATAATCGATATGACAAGATTGCTGATGACGTTCAGAACCAATGTAATAATCAACGACTGAAAGCCATTCTCAACAAGGTTACCTTAATATCTGTTTGCGCTTTTTGTTTTATACTTATTTTCACATTTGTTATTCNCCGGTATATTGTGCGGGATGCAAAAGTAGTGACGTTTAGGCTTGTTGTCCGCTTCGAAATGACACATGTAATGACCGGTTCAGTTTCAAATTCTACAAAAGTTAGCAATGGAAGACAAGGATAACTAAAACAAGTCATACTGTTCTTCAGTTGAAAGTTCAAGATTTCATCGAATCATATCGACTTTTCACTCAGACCGAACATCGGAATTTCCAACGGAATCACATTTTTTCGATTCTGTAAAACTCTTGAACGATAGAAGAGTTCATATCTCATTGTCTATGCAATTTGGTCCTTTTATTCATCCGTAAACGACAATTATTTTCAGTGGATGGTAGCTTCTGATGTGGAGCACTCGCAAAAAGTAATTCAGAAGGCGATTACACGTTATTTTGATCGGTACTTGTTGGTTTGTTCACCTCATCCGTTGAATATCTCTCTAACGATGCCCTCATTCTGCGCACATTCGCTCGACAACGTCTTCTGCTACTTGTCAGCAGCATAGAATTTCGCATGTGTTACATCAGGATCGCATCGCTATACTCGGATATTGTGTGGTTGTTGTTGTTGCTGCTATAATCATTAATTTGCAAAAAGTACCTCAATTTGATGCAAATACCTCAATTATATCGTTGATCTTATCAGTATCACCGTTCTCAAGCATAATATTCATTGTAATAGAAATTGTTATCGTAAATAAAATTATGCAGAAAATTTCATGCAAAATAACATTCTACTCGTTGACACTACTCCTCGTTCTCAATCTAAAATCATTTTCGTCACTGTTTTAACGGATTCGTCGTGCACATTTCTGTATTGTGCGTTAAGTTCTACTAGCAAACTTTTTTCTAAAAATTTAAGCTTTATCAAGAATCAACTAAAGGCCCACAAAATTTGCTTTCAATCGTCTTATATCACCACTTCG